TATTTTGTGTTTTAAACTCCAAAAATAGTTTTAAACACAAAAACGTTTTTTTTCCCCATGTCCCTTTAGGGACGCCGTATTTATTTAAATAATTGTGTAGAACAGAGAAAAATACAGAGCATTGTTCAAGAAAGACACACTTTGTAGACATAATGAAAATCTCTTGTCTCCCAGGCTCTTGTGATGGGTGGTCTGGTTTCCATGTCCGGAGATGAGGGCTTTGTTTCTGCAACTAAGAAGGAGATTGCCGCGGCCATGCACATGCCGGTCACTCAGATGGAAGACTTGGCTCAGGGCATCTTCATTCAAAGATCTGGCAGTGCCCACTCTGGCAGAAAGAGACGTCCCATCCCTAATCTTCCATGTGGTTCATTTCTTGCTTCAGAAGAAACAGTGCAGCCAGATCCAGCAGTGAGGAGAAAGAGACGTCCAGTTCCCATGGTTCCCTCTGTGCACCACTCGGAGGATGCCGACTCCAATGTTTAGAGGCTCTAAGTTATCAGTACATGGTCATCATGTGTTTTTTACTCCTGCAGGTGGCTTCACCTTACCTCAGTTTACCAAACTTGTGGCCTACGTGACAGTCTGTACCTACCAGCCTGGCTTAAGGCCTTTGGCATGTTGGCACAATATCTCTGATCATGAAATCACTTTTCTAATCAGTTTTATTGAAACCAATAATAATAAAAAAAACTTACGTTACATCAGAGCAAACAGAATGAAACACTTTTTTTACCTGAGCATTTGTTAAGGTTATCCATTCCGTATGATGATGGTACAACCATGTGAGTGCCGCTGGTAACCAAAGTGACTGAAGGGAACTGATTGAAGTATTGGGAGCAGACTTCGGCCGATGTCATGCTGCAATTCAGTGAAAATGGAGATGAGTTTCTGTGCATTGGACACATTAAACTGAGTGTTTGCCTTTAAATGTTCTGTAACAATGAATGTTTGTAAAGCAGCATCCTGATGTTATAGGACTTTGACGTCTTCAACCTTCATGACGGAAGTTTTCTCTTCTCACAATTTCAGGAGGTTTTAAAGAGAAAACGTTTGTATTAACACATTCAGATATAGAGTGCTTAGGTATTTGTTGAGTTAGAGAAACAGAAGGGTAAGTCAAGAAGTTCTAAGACAGATGTCATTTCAAAAGTTGTCTGCTTGACAAGTAACAAGCATGTTTTAGTTTGCCATAGTTTGTGTTGCGTTACATTTTTATTTTGTCCATATAAGTCCAGTTGCTTACAACTAAACTCTTTGATAACGACCTGGATGGATAACAGCATTCAGACAATGTAAACAAGGATGTTTTTGCAAGATGTCTTAAAACTTTTTGACTTACCCTCGTACTGTAGCTGTGCAGATCGTGTGATCCTTCTTCAGTTTCAATCACTCTGCAGGCGTTATTTGTAATGTACACAAACCTTGAGATGGTTGCAGTTGGTTTGATCAGCATACCTGGAGTATGGTGGATTCTGTTTGACAGCTCACCAAGGCATTTTTATTAAATCTTACTAAGACTTGCATGGGCATAAACCACTGCACTTAATTTTACTTGTTGTGCCTAAATGCAAATATGACGGGCTGTTCGGAGTACACCTTTTCTTGTTTACATGCTCCGATCTGCCTGTGTTTTGCTGTCATGTGTTAAATTTACGTCGGGAGATCAATATAGTTTGAATGGAAACTCAAGTTCTGACTGTAATCCTCCTTCACACCTGGGTCTAAGGTGATGTGTAGTTGTTTACATCAATAAATGATTTAAAAGTTGCACAGCTGTGTGTTTTCTTGAAAAAAAAAAGTACCTTGACAAGAGGACTCAGAGACAGCAGACGTCACAGCTGAGGTTAGCTTTTGAAAATATGGAAAAGAATGACTCCAAAATAGGGTCAAGAGGATCTGGAGATAAGAAGACACAGAAGTTAAGGTGTGGGAAAATGAGAGCCTCTAAAAATAACCTTGCCTCGCCAAGCAAAGACTCCTCGCTGATGGAATGGAAAGTGATGCTCCTGCAGTGTGGGTTCAAATCAGGCTAAGACATTTTTCTCTATTAGCTTTTTCCTCCCAATAATATTCACTTAAATTTCGTTTTACATTTTCAGTGCGATTTTAAGTACAAAATACATAATACATGTTACATTTTCTGGATTAGAAAATACGGCTTTGGAAAATAGATAAATAAATAAAGATAATTTTCTTTAACTGTAATTCTACATTTGATGATCACGATGCTGTAAAGCTGTTTAATTTCACTTTTTTCTCAAAATACACATCGCAGCGACCCCTGGTCTAGCGGTTATGTAAACGTCAAATTCCCTTACCAGCTAGGCAGTAAAGCACTAACGCGAATGTAGTCTACATTAAAAAAAAGAAATAGAAACGAGGTTTAAATATTTAGAATTTTATTTATTGAAGTGACAAAAACCCTGACATGAGGCGGTGTTTTCTGTTGCCTGAAGCTGATAATATGTTATACCGTAACAAACAAGTTTTTTATAGATTCCTGCGACATAACTTTTCTGACTACGGATTCACATTAGAGCCCTGACAACTTACGCAACACAGTGGAAACAAGTGCACAAGGGAATGTATCTGGACTTTAACAAACCTTCTTACCGATTGATCTTAAAAAAAAAAGAAAAGAAAAGTGGCAAATACCTAGAGGCAAGTTCATTGTTTGGTACCGATGATGCAAAACAGGGCAGTAGAAAAGTTCTGAGCAAAAACTAGTTCCAGGTAAGTTTACGTATTTATTTATGATTAAAAACGCCACAGTCTCTTTAAAAAGTTCGACTCCCACTCAGCTCGACTACATGATTATTTCATTTTGAATCACTCTGGTAGGATGGAGAAGGAAAAAAACATGTGGTAAAAATGTACATACAAACTGGTTGTTGCCGTTTAAAGCAAACAACAGATCTCAAAAAAACAGATCTTAAAAAAAAAGAAAGACACTAACTCACTACTCTAGCAAGAAAAATACATACAGATAAAATAAATTGATAAAAAATAACAGGTGGGACCTATAGGTCACGCATACGCCTAACGAGTACATTAGAGAGGAACAGACAAAAGATCTAAAACCTCCAAAGTCAGTAGAATCTTATCTTATTCATTGGGATTTGGGTTGGCGTCCGGATACTGAGACAGATCAAATGTGAGGACTTTGCTGATGACGCAATCTCCTTGCTGTGGGGTTAAAAAGAATAATAAACTGATATTAGTGATATAATAATACATTTGTAATTGATAATATTAAGGTTAACTTTTCAGTGCACAAAAATAACTGTCAAAAAAGTAAAATTGTGTTACTGTGATCAATGATTGCCGTACCACAAAAGTTGATTTTTTTCCTGAATTTTAACAATAGAAAT